CACTTCCTTTTTAGAGGTTTGTATGACCCGCACAAATAAGTGGGTGCGGTTAGAGGGCATGCCCCGGGCATGCTTTAAACTAAAAGACATACTTCCAGGGTACTTATGTCCTGCAAATCCGGACCCCTCCGGGTAGGTCAGAACCAATAAAATAATGAAGATCTTTGTATAACAAAAACAAAAAAAAAAACTAACTGCAGCTAACACAAAATTTTACTATGGTAACCTGCTTTCTGGCTTTAAGTTAAAATTTTCAGTATAAAATTTACATGTAGAATTATACTTTTATACAAAAAGCAAATAAAAAGCATTTGTAATATCGAATTATCTAAATTATGATTAGAGAACTAGATTTGTAGGATATAAGAGTACTCTACTTCCAGTAGAGGCATGTCTAAAAATTTTTTTGTACCTCTATATAGTATAAATATAAGAGTAAACTAATTCAATATATATATATAAATACTATATAAATTATATTTTTGATATTTATATAATCTACTAATTCTAAATATATCAAAAAGTAATTTTAATTCTTGCTTTCCTTTAATGTACTGCAGAAATTCATTTTTATTTATATATTTTAAAGTACTTTTGGAGAATATAAAATTACACAAGCAAAATTGTTACAAATATTATTTCTAGCTTCAAAAGAGTATTAGAAAGTTAACTCTAAAATTAGTCCTTTATAGTTTTATATTTAGAAAAGTTAGTTTAGACATGATTTTCTAAAGTAAAAAAATACTATAAAAATAGTTATTAACAAACAATTATCTTTTTTTAAAGATTAAGATTTTAGATTATATATATAAAAAATTAGCCAGGGCAGCCCCCCAAAGTGCCAGTTATGTATTATTTCAACAATCGAGTAATACTATATATACTAAATCATTACTTATTGTTAAATATATAGTATTATCTGATTGGTGAAAATGATTTACATCACTAGCACTTTGGGGGCCATCCTGGCTAATTCATATATAAAGCAAGACAAGCTTGTTTATTTAAGTAAACTAGATTTTATATTTAAAATTTTTTTAAAATTGATTTGGTTTGTTAAATACATTTGTTATTGATTATAAATATTATATAAACCTGAATTTATAGAGAATATATTTAGTGATTTAAATTTTGTTTTAGTAGTAGACATTTTTATAACTTACTTTATATATATTTATCTATTTTTATATATAGTCTAACCTCTTTATAGTTATACTTTGGTTCCAAAAAATTTCATACTTATAAAGAATTGTGTTTATATAAAAGTTAAATTTCTTAAGTTTTATATAAGCTAGGTTTATAAATTAGTGTAATTATAAAAGGTTGTGACTATATAGAGAGTAACTGTATAGAAAATGACTGTATAGAGAGCAAACTATATATATAATTCAATATAATCTATAAGTATTTATTAGTTATATAAATTTTTTAAAATTTTTGCTTCTAATACTATAATATTACCAATAACAAATTGTATTTTAATGCATACATCTATTTACCCAGCAAGATGTTAGATGAAGATTCATGCTGTCTGATAAACTAAGCATACTTGACCAATCAAAATTTATCACAGGTTAATATATATAAACAATTTTTTGCATATTCTTAAGATTTTGTATGAAATTTTTTTAATAACTACCCAATAAAATTCAATAAATTTTTTTTATTTTAATTCTATATATTTGTAGAATTAAAATAAAAAATTGGTATTACTAAATCACACCATTGGTGTTTAACACCATATAAGTTTTTGCTATGAGCTGCGGTATAACATAAAGATTAGAAGATAAAAAATTTTTTGTTTATTTTTTAAAAAAATAGCTATAATTCAAAAAGTCACCTATAAAACCTTCATTGAGATTCTAATTAAAAAAATTTCTTGTAAAATTTTGGTATAGGCTATATTCTTGCCCTATCCCAGGCTTCAATACTAACTCTAATATTAAAGAAATTTTAATATGTTATTTAAGCTTGTGACTTGATTATTGTAAGAAATATAAGCATTGATAAATATAATTATTAAGTATATAAAAAAATATAACTATTAATCATAAATTAGTAATTATAAATAAGAAAGAAATTTTAATAAATTTCATTTTTTTTTGTATAAAATTAATATTTACAATATAGAAAATATAGTCTAGCTCTAGAAAATTACTTTATTAAAACTTCTTCATCTAATAAATAATTGTGCTAGTTTAATACTATTTTTTATATAATATTTAAGTGAAAATAATTATTACCAATATTTTATTTATACTTTTATCTAATAATCATATATAGATAACTTTAAATACCTATAATAAAACAATTAATAATTCTGTAATTATAATTTTGTAATTATAGACAATACTAGAATAACTATATTTGGCTTTTAATACAATTGTATAAATAAGTATTTTAAAATAATATTTTATAAAAATATAAAAATAAAATCATTTTAGCAAAAATTTATTTATTGAAAAATTGTATTATTGATACCTGACATCTTGTATTTATCTCTTTGCATCTAATAATTTTATTTACATATCTAACTATTTCTAATTCTTCAGCTAAAACACCAAATTCATTATTTTTTGTAACAAAAATTTTATTAAACTCTTAGCAAGATGAGTTTCTTTTTGTAAAGAAATCTTACACAATGGTTCATCTTCATTATTAGATTAAGTATAAATTTGTTTAATTAGAGTTATATTATCTGGCATTTTTTCAATTAGTAAAATATCATCCAGATATACAAACTCATTAGTATTAAATAAATTATTAATTGGAAGTTTTGCAATCAAATTATTTAACTCATCAAGCTATTTATTCTCAATATTTTGAAAATCTATAGATGAAATATTATTATCATCA